TTTTTCATATAGATTTTTTTCCCGGAGTTTTGAGCCAAGAAGGAATAGCTGTACCATAGAGAATCATTCCTTCCCATTGTAATATTTTACGTTTGTTGATTTTGAAGAATTCATCGTTTTCCTGGATTAAACCGAGTTGATCTAATGAATGTAATTCCTCTGCAGTGTACAAAAGACTTAAATTTAGGTACTTGTAATGATCCTTGATCTAGAATGAATATTTTTGCGTATCTTGAAATTAGGAAACTAATTGGTTATATGTACAATGTATTACCGTACTTGCTGATGTTATCCTGACAAGAAGTAGCTTTTACTTTGGTTAGACTTGAGCTCATATCTTCAACAAATAGGTATATTTTTAGATGGGATCTAATCCAACCAATTTTCCATTCTTGTTATACCACATTGACATTGGTGTAAATTGTACAGAGTTTCTTCTTCACTAGATCCACAATAGTATCAGTACCAGGGCGATAATATATCGCACCAAGAAATCTTCAAACACCAGCACTTCACTTCTATGTCTTGTCTTCAGCTGAAATAAGATCTGGGGCCTCTTTCATAAAAATGAAGAGTTGATGAGCGACGAGTGAAGAGTTGAGAAGTGACAAGTAAATAAGTATCTTTTTTGTTTCAAAATAAATTTTCCTTTACTTCTCACTATTCATGAAGAGTTGACGAGTATAGTATACAAAATAATATCCCAGCCATTGATGAAGAGACACTTCCATAATTTGTTTACTTGTTAATCTTCCTCCTCCAAGTCGTTATTCAGAAACATTTCCAGGGAAGTAAATTTTTGTTTGCATCAAAAGGTCTATTTTCTAACCACCCGTAGCTTTAAACAAAGTAGGTATATTGTGCCGAATGTCTTACCTTACTCTCGTCCTATATAACTTTTTTTGCCTTTGCTTTGTGGCATATTTTCTCTATGAGAAGAAAAATCACTGCTAAATAGTAGACATTGGATTATGATGTGCACTTAACGTATTTGAAATAGAAATAAGAGTCTTCGTAAACTCGTCAGTAAATCTTGACCAGCTGAGGAATCTAATATATAAAATTCTCATGTCACAGTTTTAGTTACCTTCGTCCTCCAAAACGGCTTTACCGATTTTTATGAAATTTTATATGTATATTCGGTAGGTCTGAGAATAGGTTTTAAGCTATTTTTTATACCCCTAAGTGATAAGGGTGGTCCACCCCAAATTTTTTAAATTTTTTCTTGCTTCTCACCACTACATAACTCAACTTATTTTTGTTTATTCCATTCAACCGACGTAACAGTATTATCTTATAGCATTTTCGGCTTTACTGCTCCCAGAGCGCTCTCTATTTGGGCGGTGACGTCACAGATCTCTGCGGAAGTGCTCCGAGAGCGATTATGATCCAAGCGAGGCACCCTATTTGAAATCAATAGCCAAATGATGTAGAATATTTCTGATCCAGAGAGTAAACATTAGTTTTCTTCAATCAAGGCCAAATTCACCATTGAAAAAAACTGAATTTAATTCATCTACTAGATACGTTAACACAACATTTAATAGGTATTTAATAATTCATAGGCGGTACGAAGTTCGCCGGTTCAGCTAGTGATTATATAAAATGAAATTAAAAATTTTGTAAACTATTCAGCTCTTCAGCTCGTCACCCTTTAACCCTGCACTCCTCTATTCTTCAAAACTCTTATGAAATGAAATGTAACATTATGTCGCTCCTCACTCCACAACTCTTTAACTCTTCATTTTTATTAACCAGGCCCCTGAACTCAACAAAGATCGTAGACATAATGCCGAGTGCAAATTCTGTTTGAACGATGAAGGATGTCCTTGCACAATGTATGTAAATCGCTGGGATAGCAATTGTGTGCCTTGGAAGTCTTGTGATTGACCTAGAAGTTATAAATTTTTGTTTAAATTGCTCATATTCTTTCTCTAAATCCTTTCCCTTCTTATAGCCAGACCCATCACCATCAGCATTCTCAATTTTAATCATCGTTGTTATTTCCAATTAAACATCTTTTCTACTTACATTATCGATTGTTTCAGTAAAAAACGCTTGAATTGAATAAATTCGATATCAGATCTGATCTACTTTGGTCAAACCGAAAGTCCATTGCGGACCGTCGTAACCGCAGCAGGTGTAAAGACAGATCGCCCTGACCTCCTCCGATGGCTGAGAACTGCTTCTTGCACAACGCAACCTGCTCGACCCGAAGTTTTAAGAAACAGAAAGGATGTAGAGGTTTAAATCGATTATGTTAATTTCGATTGCTACATTCTACGAAACTATTTTTATAAATAACCAATTCCAACCGTGACCGATGACCTCGACTAATCGACCATCCTGGCGGTTGCTGCTTCTTCTTCGCTCGATTTTTTGTGGCCCTAACGGGTCATATCCGGTGGTCAACCGCAAACGGAGGCGGCCGAATTCTCAAACAGATCCGATTCCAGATAACACACGAAGATGCTGAGAAACTTTTTCTGATGGTGACTTGAAAATTTTGAGGTCCAAGTTCAAGAAATACAAGCAAAGATTGAAGGTTTTTGCTTCTTCATAATTAGTTTCGTGCATAACATACTCCCGGCGTAAACTGGCCACTTAAAACGTCTTATAACGGCCGCTGGACAGCCTATCATTAGTACAATTAACGAGGTTTAAGAAACGATTTAATTTGTTTTATTAGCAAATTAATTGCAGATCATAAAATAACGTGAAACGTATTTAGTTGCCGCTCGGGTTTCTAACAATTTTGTGTAAATATTTTCATAAACGGTTACCGAGAAAAATGACTATAGAAAGCCAAAGATGATGGAAAATATATTGTGATTAACATTCTGGGGTAACTTCTACGGCGCTGGTATAATCGTTTGCCGTTTTAACACTTGATTAGAGCGGGATGCAGCGAACTTAGCTAAGTCATCAAGTTACTCTATGCTGGAAACATTTAATAGTAAGTGACAGAAACGCCGGTTTGGAAGGCGTACTTTGGTACGATAAGAGGACGTGTGGGTTTTATCAGCCCGTAAATGCCATAATGTCACACCGTACGGTTTATTTGTTTTTATTTTGTACACTTAATTATAATGTTAGTGCTGTTAAGATATTATGAGGTCAAAAGGTTTCCATAATGATTTCGATTGCTTGGAGGTAGATGAAGGTTTTAATAAAAAAGCTATTAAACAGATTCTGTAATCATCTCGGAAAGGAATACCTGATTTTATAAAAAAGATGGGCCCTTTGTAAATTTGCAGCTAAAAAATCGAGATTGTTTATTCCTAAGAAAGAAATCCTTTTGAAGAATAAGAAAAGACAAATAAAAACTGAATTTTTGATTACGATTTGCTCGCTGGCGCTCCCGGGTAAAGTTATCTCGAGTTTCTCTCTTATATGATCTACTCCGGCTGCAGTTTAAATGGGTGCATCTTCTCAAAATGGAAATGGTTGGCATTTTCCTCTGATCATATTGTTGTGTGCAATTTTTGGTTCTTAAAATTTTACCAATTTACTTTTGACATTTGTCGTTACTTTGCCTCATCTCTATTCTTCAAATCTCAGACAGGTGATTAATTCCTTGTGGTGTTTCTTTTACGATTTGGTTGTTCCCAGAAAAGGGTCCCTCTTGAAGAATTTATTTTTTGTCTTCATCCTAAATGGGATTTTGGATCTTATTTTCTCAGTTATTGAATTTATGGTACATTGAGTTGCCTTACGTTGCGTTACGTTTTCGTAAAGTGCCATAAGTACTCTGATGATTTCGTATATTCAAAAACCATTCCGGTAAGTTTTGTTTTGCACGTTTTTCACCACAAGCGATTATGACTTTCTCTATTTGATCATTAGTGGAAAGCTGCCTTAGAAACAACCATATTCTATCCAGGATCTCGAATCCCGACTAATCCAGCGGATAAGAGTATTTTTTTCCCTATTCCAACAAGTGAGACATAATCTAATAACCTTAAATTTTCTTTGCAGAGGCACATTTATTCAATTTTTCAATTACAATCATTTTCAAGAGCTTATAGTTTTACCCAGTAAATTTGATATTAACAATTGACTAAGTTGCAATGTAAATTCATTGTCTTTTCTTTCATTCTGTCAATTCATAAGGTGTCTGGCTAAGGTTAAGTTACAAATACAGTGTGTTATAACAAAAAGGGATTTTGGATCTTATTTTCTCAGTTATTTAATTCATGGTAGGTACATTGAGTTGCCTTACGTTGCGTTACGTTTTCGTAAAGTGCCATAATTTAGCCGATGATGAACACAGCTTTGAGCATTACCTATTGCCCAGTCTGAGAAAACTCTCCTACTCATAGGTGTGTTCGTCTGCACACTGCCTTTCTTTTCCTATTCCTTCTTGCTTGGATCAGCAGAAGGCACCAGTATTTACTGTGCCAATGAAGGACCTTAGAACAGCTGAAAATCAAACTGCTCATTTTGAAGCCAGACTGATCCCTGTGGGTAATTCACATCTTAAAGTCGAATGGTTTAGGAATGGAGTGTAAATCCAAGCATTTAAGAATTTCAATTTTTTGTAGTTTTCTTAGAGCCAACAAAAATAACAAATTACTATTCCTCCAACTCGAAGCCCAGTTCGTCATCTAGAAGCTGCAAGCTGCTACCATTGCCCCAAAGAGGAAGAAATCCAAGTTACTCAAGCCCCATTCTTCTCAGCTCAACATAACGGCGCTACGGAACTTATTGAAGGACAAAGTCTCCACTACGAATGCCGCATCGAACTTTATCTAGATTCAAACCTGAAAGTCGAATGGTTTCATAATGGCCAACCATGGACTACTGGACATAAATTCAGAACAGCTTATGATTTTGGCTTTGCTAGCCTAAACGTTCTGACAGCTTATGCTGGAACTTACACTTGTAAGGATACGAATCTTATCGGTCAAGCTCACTCTTCCGTAAAAACTTCAGTCAAATCTAGAGCTTCGATTCTCCGCGATACGCAACATGGAGGAGCCCTCCAAAAGATTTAGAAGATGATTCTAAAAACAAAAAAAGTTTCTCGTGAAGATGCTATTATTCTTGAAAACCCACATTTCGGAAGAGGACTTAAAACTATTGACAACCTTCCAGAAGGACAAAGTGCCCATTTGAAAGCAACTCTTACTCCAGTTAACGACCAAACAATGAAAGTCGAATGGTATTGCAATGGAAGACCCATCCAGACTAGTAATAGATTCAAAACAACCTACGACTTTGGTTATGTTCCTTTGGACATTTTATATGCTTAAACAGAAGATTCTGGAGCATACCTACATGTGTAAGGCTAGAAATGCTGTTGGTGAGGCTGTCACAACGGCAGCAGTTTCTGTGGTGACGAGCAAAAATCTTTATCTGGAAACTATGGATGAAACCCTAATCAGCTAAGATAAACGCCAAGAAAGCCAACATGCATTAAGATCGAATGGTTCGTTAATGGTATCAAACTCAAAACTGGCCATAGGTTCAGGACTAGACATGATTTTGGATACGTGGCTTTGGATATTTTTTATGCATACCCCGATAATACTGGTACTTATATGTACAAGGCCAGCAATCTTGTTGATGAAGCTGTCGACACTTGCATCCTTAAAGTTGGTGATGGAAGAGGAATTTTGCAGAATACTCACCATCCTGAAGGCTTACAAAAGATAAGAGAGCTAGAAGCCGAAGGACAATCTGCCAGATTAGAGATTGAAGAACCTATCCCAACTGCGCCACGATTTATTACTAACCTTCGCGGTACCACAGAAATTTATGAAGGACAAACGTCTTCCTTTGAAGCTCAAGTTGAACCTATTCATGTATTCAATTCTATCATAATGGTAAGTCTTTGCTTCACAAAAACAGAATCAATTTTACTTACGGCTTTGGATATTACTCACGCAGTACCAGAAGATGCAGGAGAATATTCAGTTAAAGCCATCAATAATCTTGACCAATGCGTATACTCAATAAGCCTTAGAGTGATTTCTAGGGAAAATATCATTACTGAATCTCAAAGGCCCGAAGATCTTGATAAAATAAGACAATTACAAGCTCGTGAGCCTACAGACGTCCCGAGGTTGAAAATCAAGTAACCAGACAAAGACCAGTTTTCACTCAACCATTGCAAAATATCGATGTTATTCGAGAAGGTCAAAAATCTCACTTTGAATGTAGACTTATGCCAATTGGAGACTCATCTCTTAAGGTGGAATGGTTCAGGAATGAAAAACCTTTGTAAGACAGTTCACGTACAACCACACTCCACGATTTCGAATACGTGTATTTGGATATTCAACATGTTAGAGATGAAGATGCAGGCATTTACTTATGCAGAGCTTGAAACCCACTTGGCGAAGCCGTTACAAATGCTTTTATGAAGCTAGTATTCAACTAGAATCTCAACATCTTGAAACCCAGCGTAAGATCGCCCAATTAGAGCAACCACTAGCTTCAAGACCTGAAGAGTCTGAAAGAATATTCACTCAGTTACTTATTGGGCCTAATGAATTGTGGGAAGATCAGCACGCCTACTTCGAGGCTCGTACCTGTGGATTGGATTTGAATGGTATGTCAATGGTGTAGAGCTGAAAATGGAATCCAGATTCAAACGATTTTGGTTTTGTTACGTTAGATATTATTTCTACAGTGCCAAACAATTCAGGAATCTACATGTGTGAGACCATTAATAGATCTGGTGAAGCTGTATCGTCGAATTCAATGAAGATTAAATCAAGATTATTATTGGAGAACTTCTTCTTGCTCTATCTTTAATATCACTGCCCAGGTATAGGTATTTCCCTCTTGAATAGAAATCATTGCCATCGTCTTCATTGTCATTTTCTACCCTAGATTTGCAGCTAAAAAATCGAGATTGCTCTTTGACCATTTTATCTCATGAGTGATTTTCCATCCATATTGTTAACATGATAAATGGCTTGTTAACCTCATGTCATACCATTGAGCTTCTGACTTTTGCTCTCACCGTTTTGCATTATGTGTTTTAATGACTCATCTGAGATCCTTAATCAAGCGATCAAAGCTGGACAAAAAAACAGTTAATCCGTTATCCGTTAACTAACGAATTGAAAAAATTGCTTAAATTTAACTTTGAGGTTAACCTAAAAAAATATTAACGAGTTTCTTAACTTCCGTTAACTTTAGTCCGTTACCTTCGTTAATGACGTCATTTTGTTTGCTTGAATTGCGCGTCAAGAGGTCTGTTTGCGAAGTAATCACAAACCAGTCAGAGCGAATTACATTGGTTCAAAACAGTCTGAAACAGTCAGAAAACTAGCTTCAACCAATGAAATTCACTCTGACTGGTTTGTGACTTCTGTGCGAATAGACCAGGTCAACCCTGACAGTTCGCACAAGCGCAGAAATATTGTTGCACTGGTATTTTTACAGAATGGATTCCCAATTTTCAGTTCCCTCTTCTGGTTTCTCCACTACGCAGTATGGAACTGTTCTGGAACAATTCTAGCTTTGTTATGGTTTTATTCAGAGGTACTTCGGTATCATTCTGCGTATGTGCATGTTATAGTAGCTCTGTTCCAACCGACATGAGAACCGTTCTAGAACGGTAATTTCCAGTCGATCAAATCATTTTTCAAGTAGGATAAACGTTTAACTTAATGAAAAATAGATGGGCATCTATAAATTATTGGTTCTGGAACGGTTCTCATGTCGGTTGGAACAAAGCTAAAAAGCGTTTTCGTTTTTTCCAGAATCGTAATCGAACTGTCTTGACAGCGTTTTGGATTATTCAGAACCATATAAAAACATATTCTGAGATTGTTCTAGAACGGTTCCCTCAGTTCTTGCTCCGAGGGAGGAACTGTTTAGGAATTCTGTGATTTGCGGATTGTTTTTGGTTTTTCTAATTCAGAATCGGTCCAGAACTAATATTAGAACAGTCCTCCAATGTCTATCATTTTTTGTGCGCAATTCCAGAACTGTTCCAAATTTCGAACCAAAACAAGGCTACTGATTCCGTACAGTGAGATCGCTGCGCAATCCTTTAGTGACCTTACTTGTTCTGAGGTAGGCTGTGGCCATTTAGCTTCAAACATCAGTATAACATTTGAATGATTAACTCAATGGATAACTTTAACTTGCGTTATATTCTCAAAAATTTAACGATTATTGAAGTTAACTTTTTGAGTAGCGAATCAACGATTAACGGAGTTCAGAGTTAAAGGGGGTGTGCGCCAAAAATTAAAGTTTTAGTGTAAAAAAAATCTAAGAATAACTGTTCAAACCTCGTTATTCTACGATAAACCATCGCTGAGATATACCGCTTTAAAGTGTGGACGACACTCTCGTGACGTCACGAAAACTTCGTCCAGCGGCGCTCTGCATTGTTAATTTGATTGTTCCCGGCACACGTGAGTAGTTTTTGTTTAGATTATTGCAGGTAACACAGGAAAAACATTATGTAAGTTTAATTAAATCCACTTTCTCGTGCGTCGCTTGAGCTTTCATGACGTCATAGGGTGAGATGCGGTACCTTCATAGAGCCATATCTGCGGTATTATTTGTCATAGAGGGGTGCGGATTTCACTGTTATTCTTCGATTTTTTTTCTCTTTTTTTTTTAGATGAAGTTGTTTTTTTGGCGCACACTCAATTTAAGTTTTCAATTAACTTTGCTCGCCTTTACAAGCGATAATCGATTCAGGTTTCTTGCAGGGTTGGCATATACAAAAACCCATTTCCATGTCAAAAATCCAGTGGGCTTTTGAGCGTTTTGTGCCAAAACCCATTCATTCTTACAATAGTGCCTGCATCTTCAAACAACTTGGATTTTTACCAATCCTGGGTCCTTATTCTTGAAACAGGGGAGCAGCGTTCCTAGGAGAACAAGTGTTCCGTTTTTCTCAATGATATTGTCACAACCCCTATACGTTTCGTCCTGGGACGTCACAACAGGAGCGTGACTTGGGGGCGTAGGTGGGGTTCAGGTAGAGAGAAACTCGCTTGGTATTGGTATAATAATAAGATATGTATTGAATAATAATAGTATTACCTACCCTAGAACTGGTATCATGAGGTCTCTTCTACGGAGGGACGTACTACTTATAGGCCACTCTGTATTATGTACCCTTTCTACACTTGGCGTGACTGAAGACTGAAGCTGGCTTTGAGACAGGTCCAGAAGGGCGTTTCCCATTAAAGGTAATTTGCACTGGACCTAGCTTGCTGCGTTCAATGCTCTCAGAAGAAGCTAGGTTTGAGACAGGTCCAGAAGGGCGTTTCCCATTAAAGGTAGTTTGCACTGGACCTAATCTGCGGCGTTCAATACTCCCAGAAGGGCGTTTCCCATTGAAGGTTGTTTGCACTGGGAGGAGACTTAGCTAGAGAGATTTTTCCCATTAGAGGTGCTTTGCACTAGCCTTAGTCTGTCGGTAATGGATTTCGGCGCAGTATTTATACCAAATAAATGCTGACTCGTCGACACACTTTAGCAAAATTGATGTACAGAGTAGTATTTACTTAAGTAGTTGACAATATGGAAATGATAATATAAGTAACAAAGACGGAACACTCGTTCTCCTGGGAACGTTGCTCCCCTGTTTCAAGAATAAGGACCCTGGTATCTTGTTTATTATTTCTTATATCCGAGAATAATTTTACATGAAAACATCTCACAAAAGGATTGTCTTTTCAATTAGGTAAAGTACCTTTTAAACATTACTTATCCCAGTTTTCATAGTAAGTAAGTAATCAAAATACCGCCCGGACTATCACTTGAGATATTTTTACAAATTTCCTTACTACCAGAATATTACCCATTCTAAAACTTTATCGCACTCGCACTTACCGGCCGTAATTGCGCAATCAATAAATTCCCGTATATATCTATACAAAGCCCATCAGCTAAAATGATAATTTAATATACAATCAAGCGTTTTACTGCTAAAGGTGGCCATTCGCCGAATAACAACCGGAGTTATGGCTTAATTACTTGTTGGTAGTAGCTTCACTGAGGCGTGAATATGCAAATTGAGCCATGTTTATTTTCGAACGAACCAAAGAGATTAGGCAGACCTTCCTGCAAAATAAATTAATTGAAAGATTATGGAAATCGGTTCGATTTTCCCATGGTAGCTTAAGTAAAACTTGGTCTCAATATTGCCGGGGCAAATGAGGAAGAACTCCTGCTATCTTCTAGTGTCAAGTCGATAGAGATATTGCTTTAATGTGGGAGTCGAGAACCAGCTTAAGAGGTTTACATTATTCAAATGCTGCAAATTATTATCTTTTGCCAATGAATACGTTTAAAAACAAATATTTGCATTCGAGTTTTTAGAAACGGGAGATTAAAACCCGCAGAGTAATTTTATCGATTATCCAATCTGATAATGGTGTGTCATTCCGATTAGGGCGGCTATCAGTGGTAATTATCGAACGATTAACATTTTCGTTGCCATTATGGCGCAAGAACTATCTGGTACTGGTACGAATATAATGGCGAAAAACAGCTTTTTGCACTTTGGCGGTCGGTGCATGTAATGTAATTGCTGTCTTATTATTTGCTTTTGGCTACATTGTTCGGATTGAATTCGAATTGTACCGAATGGTATTTACTTTGGTACTTAAGGTTTGTATTCATTTTTTGTTTCTTTTTTGTCGTTAAATAGAGTTTTTGTATGCCGAAGTGGTAGAACAAGTCAAAAACCACAATTTATGAATGAAAAATCGAAAATTATAAGTAGACTTTGATTCTTCTTGGGTGTGACATGCAAACTTGTTGAAATTCAATGAACTTTCTAAGATATGAGTATTGTCGGAAATCTCTTCAGGCTTTTACGAAACATGTCAGGAAAATACAACTCTACCTTTATATATGTTTCAAGTTGTCTTGGTAAATGGTAGGTACTTTATATAGTAGAGTAACCATCTTTGCAAAAAGCAAAATCCATCCTATTGAATCCCACATCCCATAATAAACGTAACCATTAGATTTTATTGTGATTTTATGACACTGTCGACGTTCCCTGATCAAGCGACATAAAATATTAGGTTGCAACCTGTATCAATAAATAATTTGCAGTGACTCGTTAATGTCGAAATTTATTTTAAATCGTATA